ACAAGAATTATCTTATTTTCTAAAAATATGATATATTCTTATAATTTGTTTTATTTATATATAAAATATATAGAAATATTAAAAATTTGATAAATAAATAAAATTACCTAAACTTATAGAGAACATGACAACTAAGCAAATTTATAGAAAATAAGATAATTCATATAAATTCGTTTTATTTATAAATAATATATATATAAATATTAAAAATATGATAAATAAATAAAATTACCTAAACTTGTGGAGAACATAACAACTAAGCAAATTTGCTTCTTAAATAATAGTATAGAAGATTCGTTTTATTTATAAATAAGATATATATATATATAACTATTAAAAATATGATAATAAATAAAATTACCTAAACCTATGGAGAACATGATAACTAAGAAAATTTACTTCTTAAATAATAGTATAGATATATAACTATTAAAAATATGATAAATAAATAAAATTACCTAAATTTATGGAGAACATGACAACTAAGCAAATTTACTTCATAAATAATAGTATAGATCATCCATACTGAACATAATATATATAACTGATATATATATATATATATATATATATATATTCTTTCTAATTCATGTTATTTATTATATGTATCCCCTAACAAACTATTATGTAATTTGTATACGCATAGTATGGCAGTGGACATGCTTTGTACTGCTAATCAAGGTCCTATCAATTTTCACAAAAAGCTTTATGAATAAAGATTACCAAGTACTATGTGCTACAAATAATGTTCACATATAAATGTATCTCAGCTGCTTTACTGGCCGAGTAAATTAATCACAAAATTCACTAACCATAGTGCGAGGCTGCTTTTGTTATGTTTTCAATCAGAAATAATACAAGTATTGATTTATTCTAATATTTTTTCTAGAAAAAAAAACCTAACATCTTCATTTGAAAATCTAGTAGGACATAACTAATGACAAACTTTATTCTCCACAAATGATTAATATATTGCATATAAGAATTTTGTCATAAGCAACTACTAGCCTGTCGTAAGCAGCATGACAATAGTTTTGTTTGAAGTGATTTTTGTAATTAACATGCTCTTAATGTTCCTTGTAGTTATTTACTCAATCATGCATGGTTTTAAATTTAATCAATCATGCACTTCTCAGATTTTAGAGGAAAAGTTATCATGAAGTTGTGTAGGATCTCCTGTAAAAAAGAATTTATACCAAGTTTTGTTGTATAATGCAATACACTAAACTTATTGTTTTCTCTTGAGTTCTATCAACTTATTTATTTTTTAAAAAACTGCTATAGGAAATTAAAGTAATCATCTCAACCGCACTATGTAACCCAATATAAATACTCTCACAGACCAAAGCTAAATTCTCTCAAGAAACAAAGCAAAAGAAAAATAAAAAGAACAAAGAGAAAAAAACATATTCTCCTTATATTAGATTCTCAATTTCTTTACATGAATCTAAAACAGCTGAGAATAGAGTTCTGAAGAAGCAAAAGC